TTTCTTTGTCATTCCTTTTTTATTTGCGACGAAATGACTACGCCTTAATATATTTATTTGTAGGGAGCATGTCTCTTAAACATATAAGATTTGGTGATTTGTTGAATACACACGAACACATATTTACGCATGAACTTACCAGTAGTTAAAACACATTTACTTAAATCAGATGTTCGCTAGTCATTTGTAATGTCTAGTATTACTACTAATATTAAAATATGAAAAAGTGGTTGCAGCGTTGCCTATAAACGCAATATTTAGTAGTTCATATGTTTTGTGTGTGTCTGTAATGTAGATATACTCCAATATCATCGTCATTATCATTATTATTAGCATTATCATTGTTATCTGATTTGTTGATTGTCTAAACAAGGTAAATTTTGATTTGATAATTAGTTTAGACGTAAAAAATTATGATCTAAATTGTTCGATAAGTGTGATTTTATCTGATGCAGTATTGTCTCCTATTTCCCTCTTTATCTGGTACTTTTTTCACTACTGGGTCTAAAAAAGGATTGATTATATGTGGTATTGTAATAATGAGTAGTATTGTTAGCTAATACCCACTTAGCCTTGGACTCATCGACTGTCTGTTTCTAAATATTGCAACTATATACTTTTTAACTAATGACTTAAAACAGTAACACACTGTCCAATACTATTTTAATTTATTTATTTGAACGCATAAACATTCGTGCACACGGGCACCGAAGACATATGCACCATAGAAGTAAGTTGATTTGTGCGTGGGTCTGTTTTCAACAAAATATCTCCGCTAATGCCGTGGATTCAAATAAATTAATTTCCAGAATACTATTATGACACTATAAATCAAATTTATTTTAGAAAATGTAAATATCACTATAGGGTTGTAGAGATTCTTGAGTTCTAATTTAGACCATTAACCGATCAATGTTGGACCACTATTGATAACCTATTGATAACCACGATCCCACACACTGGAATGGAACCCAGGACCTATAATCTCGCAAGCGAACGCTTAACATTTAGATAGCTGGGCCGGCATCTAACGGTGTTAATGTCTAAATTCAACAAACCAACCAGGTTTTCAATGGTGATCTAACATTGATCGGGTCATGATCTCAATTAAAATATAAATAGTTAGGTCATATTGTGTTTAAACTAAATAAGAGTAGAAAAATATAATTAAATATCCACCGAGAAACCCGTTCATTATTGAGGTCATTCAAAGAAGGACGTACAGCGACTATTTTAATCACTGATGGAGTGTTGGTCAAGTTACAACAGGTTCGGTTGTATGTAAATATGCATTTGAAGATGTTGCGATCAACTATGTATTTTGATTTTTCTTTCGTAGTGAATTTCTGAATTTTAGATGTTATCTTTTATTCCATCATGTGACTAGTCAAATTATTGGTTTATATTCTGTCTACACTAGAACAATGTATGGTGATAACAATAGTTTTCTTCAGCAATTTTAATTACGGATTTCATCAAGCCATACAAGTGTAAGTGTATAATTTTATCTGAACTGAGCATAGAAATATGAGGGTGAGTAATTAAACACTTTCGTACAACGGAGTAAAAAATGCCACAAAGAAAACGAAGGATATATATATATATATATATATATATATATATATATATATCGTCAGACATAAATTAATTGTAGACAGGTCGTACAAATCATTGAGCTTTTTTTTCTATTACTATCTTTCACAGTTCTTTTTTCTTCCCTTCTAAAGTATACAATATCACATAAATCTATCAGAAGTAAAAAAGAAGCGTGTGTTTGTTGCTTTATTTCGTTCTTTTGTAATCTTTTCTCTTGTGTATTTTTTGCATATATTTATTGGAAAAATCTTGATGGAATAATATTTAAGAAAAGCAAAAGAAATATTTAATTCACTCTAAGCAGCTACAGTCCTTTAATAGTTGGCAGCCAATTATGATAAACACACTTATGATAGGAATAATTTTTTCCAAACTCTTAGGATAAGAATTTATTTATTTTTAATCATGTGAAAATATCTATTCATGCCAAAACAAGTTTGATTATTTATGAATAAAGGAAAGTGATGTATGCCTTAAGGCTAAAATGAACAGGTAGAAAAGTCTGACAGAAAAATGTTTCCAAGTGATGTATAATTCGTATTAAACAAATCTCTCTATATCCATAGAACGATTGTAGTGACATAATAGATTTGTTGATATATGATCAGAAATGGTTATTATATTGAAATTTAGATATCACATGTTTTAGCTTATTTCATTCATTTTTGTGTACATTTAATGTACATGTCAGATAGAATAAGGTACTCCGTATGTCGTCATTCTACTTGGCTATCATGTTGAAAGATTCCAATGGATTTATATTTTAACCGATTTAAAAAGATGAAGGAAGATTCAAGAGGTAAAGAAACTTGAGTTAAGAAAGGGTTAGACTTAGCACTACCAACTTAGCACTGTTTTTGACCTATTAGAAAATAGCTATCCAGGATAGTTTAATTGATATAAGGTAAAACACTTATTGCTGGTAATTAGAACAAAGAGACGAGATATTTATATTTAGAAAATTTATAGTAATTTATTTGCCCTCATACACAAAATTCTGCTATTGATGGGGTTTACCTATCAACAAATCTTTTTGCTTAAATTCTTGATTCTTATTTAAAACAATATCAAAGTTTTAAGTCCGTATTACTCTTTGAAATTAGAGTAATATACATAAATATTACTGAGAATCAATAAATAAGTGATCATTTTTAATGTACTTTTTATTAATTTAACTTATTTACTGAGTATAGATCAAAATGGATACAAGCGACAACCCGAATGTGAGAGTTAGTGATCTTACCCGAAGTAGATGTATATATAACATCAACATTATCATCGTTGTCAATAAATGTCCGCAAAAAATCTCATTTACAGATAGTGTGAAACATCATAATGAATAAATAGATTTACGTTAGTCGGATTATATATCTATTTAATTAGTATTTTTAACTGAAATAACATAAGTTGACAATCTGTTACAGATTATAAATATTAATTGGAAAAATATCGGCCCTCACATATACACAACAACCATAATAAAAAGAAATAATACAGTCATTAATTTACCCAATAATATATTTATTCTAGTATACAAAGAACATTAGTTCAATATATGCTAATACCAGAAAACTAAGAAGTGTCACCACAAACAACACAAGACAGATAACAACAATAATAAGTAAGCTGTCATCATTTATAATCAGTTGATTGAGACATAAAATTTAAGAGAATGTTAAAATATAAGAAAAAAAACTGACTTTATCTGGACGCGATAACTTTCAATTGTTCCATTATGTAAGTTGGATTTCATAACCAATCTTATCAATATGGCCCTTCAGAGAAATAATGTAAATAAACCCAACATGTTTACACATATAATTGTTTTATTTTTCGAGCACTTATTTCCCAAATAATTGGTTCAGGTGTCACTGTTGCTATTATTGATACTAACCGTGTTTTAACAACGAACTTCATTCATGTTGTTGGGGAACTCATTCCGAATTCTTTTAAATTTTAAGTTGCTGTAAAGTGTGAAAATGCATAAAAACGATTTGCAACTAAGGTGCATTTAACGTGATCGATTTTCCATGTCATTCATATGACATGACATCATAATTTTCCGTCAAAAATAGTAATATTTATATTGCACTGTATTTGATCCAATTTGTCATTGTGGATATCATTTTAAATGTATATACAATTACTAATACTACTGTAGTGAACGAGAACAACGGTAGGGACAACAAAAAAATGTATTTGAACACAAAATTACAGAATCTTCTAGTAAAATCTGAGATATAAACAGTAAATACTTTATTTGTCTCAAACTTGACTGCTTCTTTGTTTCCACGCCCATCACTCTTTTTTCGGTTTTCTCAACCTTCTACCGCCAGGGATTCCACTTTCGATTGATGATACATACTACATATATCTGTCAACATCAATAGCATACACCATACTATTATTACGTCATTATAGCATGTCACAACTGTGGTCAAAATCCTTTATAAGAGTTATGATGTAGTCTTATGCTTCGTAATTTAACTATGATTAAACTTGATATGCAACTTTTTTACTGCAGAACTTAAACCAACGATAATGGTACTACTAATTATATACATTCGATAACCGACCGATAATTATGTCTGAATTTTAGCACATCAATTTAAACACGAGGTTGAATTTTGAGTCGAAACTATTTTTCTCATTAATTTTCGTAAACATGATTTGTGCACAGACGTTTCTACTATCTAATGAAACTTTTAAAACTTATACAAATTTAGATATAAACACAGATGTCTATTTTAATTAAATAATTTAGCAGTTTTGTAGGGAACATAAACGCGATGGATTTAGTTGTTTATGTGTAATATATGACACGTCCTAGAAACGTTGTAAATGTAAATATCTTGTGAATAGTGTTCAGATTTTATTGTAATTTTTGGACAAAATTAATTACTTTGCTCATACGAAATTGTCATAACATTAGTTAACATTTGTGCTTAAATAAGTGCATATTTATAAACAATTTATTAAGAACTAAACACGAAAAATGTTAATAAATTTTATATGGAGAAAGAATTGACAAGTATTTATTATCAATATTGGCCTATATATGGATTTTAAGGGATAATTGTTTGAAATCGAAAAACCTCTAAATAAGTTCAATAATCAAACACCTTGTGAACCCATGTCATTCAATCAAAGCGGGCTCTGAGCTGGATGCTGGCTCAGTGGTCTAGAGTTTACGCGTCCGCACGAGATCATGGTCAGGCACTGCTGAGGGCTCCCATACAAGGAAAAGTGGCTTTTCAGTGGTTCTAGGATTTTAATGGTGGTTTAACATTGATCGGTTTATGATTCCAATGAAGTTTTAGGTCACTGAGCAATTACTGTGATTGTGGCTAAACAACTTTTCTTGGGTTGAAAATCTTTGATTTTATAGTCTTACAACAATTTACCTACTAATGTAATTATTACTTGTATCGCGCATCCTTTTTAAACACTTATCACAATGACTCTGTGGATAGGCTATGGCATTTACTAAAATTAAATTGATTAATTTTGAAATGTGTCAATAAACATTTCCATTTCCTAAAAAGTCTGAGTTCAGTGCATCGAAACTTTAACATATTTCAGTCAATCCCCTGGGAACTTTTCAAACCAACAGGTGAAATCTATGACCTTGGAGATTTCTAAAAGTTACCGGATGTGAAAACTCGTAAGTGATTGTATCATTTTTTAAAATTTTCTTTGTCCATATTGGTCGGTAGCTGAGAAATGAATAACAGCGCTAACAGAGAATTAACTGATGATATTTTCTGTCTCTAAGCATCATTCAACTCTAAATTAGGCTCCAGTAGTTTCTTACACGAATTCGAAAGTATGTCAATATTAAGAAGACTAATCTACAAGTCAATGAAACTATGTATTTAACTGCATAACTTTTGACGAAGATCATCTAAAATAGTTTATGATAACTCCTAATCACTTTATATATTTAATGGTTGGCGCTAAAGAATGAGAATTACATATATTCTTATGAACCTACATAGATAGAATAAATGCTTCCAGCACTAATAATAAATAATCCGAATAATCAAGCAGTTTAAAGAAAACATGGAACTTGAATCACGTATCATACAACAGGTGATCAAACACACCACTTTTATGAAATAAGACAGGGAATATTAGCGATAATCACAATTTGGTTTTTAAAATTAAATCGAAAATTCCGGTCATATCGATAAGAAAATGTTTAAATTGATTTCATGGGTAAGATAATAATACTTGGACTTTTGTGTATGCACGAACTATACAAGATAACGCAAAATTTAAGAAAGATTTTCAGATTTTATACGAACATAAAGTGTTGACAAATACGAAGAGACAATAGGCGTAAACCTAAATGTTATGATGAATATTATTTCACCCCCTTATATATAAATAAGCAGGAGATAAAATTTTACAAGATAAAAAAGATATGCAAAATGTATATTCTTTTTGTTGTTGCACAAACGTGATATGTTTAAATGTCAAAACAAATAAACCGCATTATGCTTATCACTTACAATAGTAAAACATTTATTACTCTTCGATATAAATACACACACTAATACCTATATCCGCCTATCTATCTATACCAAAATATCGTAATGTTTGCATTCACCATATCAAACAATAAAAGGTTGATAGTATTACACACAGTGCTAAATACCATAATACAAACAACAAGATAGATATAAGAATACTAGTTGAAGCAATTTATTTTTAGAGAAGGCTACATAAGTACTCTTTCAACATTAGTGCATGCGCTTAGGATAGGTGTATAAGCACAAAAGTATTCATATAGACAGTAATGGTATATTCTTTTGTTTGAATGGAAATACTGGTCGGAAGTATCTGTATTCATCACAGTCGTATTATTGGTGATATTATTATTCCAATGAAGAAAAACCAAAACATGAAAAAGTTATCACAGTCAAAATTCATTTATTTTTTTCTTACCAATGACTAATCAACAAATAGGC